TATTATGTCATAATTGGTAGAATTATTTCAATGGAAGCCTGGATTTAGAAGCTTATCAAACACCATTACGATCATTAAGTTACCGTTATATAGTTGTGTTAGATAATGATTCTAATTTTAAAGATGATGATGAGTATGAACCTAAAATATATCTGTCCTATTTGTTGTATTATTTATAATATATTTGTATGTCTACAGTAGTTAATCATTCCCAACTACAGGGTGATTCGAAATTATAAACAGTGTACAAAGTACGTGAAAAGAACAAACTTTCTATTCCAAGTTGTATAAGAAACGAGAGAATATACACGGAGAAAAAAAACCGTGAAACTCATGACGGTTTTTATACGCGGTTTCTCGTAGTCAGTTTNTAGTCAGTTTGGCATGGTTTTTTTTCACGGTTTTAGTTGTTCATGCTTTTGTTTCCTATGGTTCCTATATGACAGTTTTGCTTTGACGGTTTTAAAACTATTAGAAAAATCGTCCAGGTAAAACTGTGCAAGTGAAACTGTCCACTTTGAAAGGAAAGAAAAAAAAGAACAGCTCCTCCAGGAATCGAACCTGAGACGCTTGGCGAATATGAGACCAAGACACAAACCACTGAACTGAGGAACTTACAGAAGTGTGTCTTCGCACTGCATACTCATCATGTTCTCAGGTGGATTTCTGTAAAAACTTCATCATCTTACGAAAAGCTGTCGCTGTTGAATTTGTAAAGCTCCTCGCTGTCGTACATGTATTTGAGATATGAAAGAGAAACGCTAACTGTATGAGTGTGCACATATATCATATGATACCATCGAGTGTATTCTATGACGAATGTCTAGAAACTTATGGTTAGGAGAAGATATTTACCATACCCTTCTCTCTACCTTCTAAGACTATAGGCATCAGGACAATTTCAAGATAATCCCAGTTTCAAAGAAAAGAAAAGAATTTGTAAAAAGGCAAAAGTTCACAAAACAGGCATATTTTGCAGAAACATGCGCTGAAAGGCGTCTTCCCCTCATCCCTGTCACAAGTGCCAGTTTTACTCACTTATCTACCCGGCTATGCTCTTTACTGAATAATCCTGAGTGTGAGATAGATTTGTCGAGAAGCTCAAGGCTCGCTCTATTAAACTTATGTTGGTTGATTAGAAAAGACTTTTTGACGTGCTAACGACTGAAACTGCACATATTTTAATGAATTTTGAAGCTTCGACAAAATCTTCAAATAAAAAGCATGAAAACGCTTTCACGGTTTCCTCGTCACGCTTTTGTTTTCATTGTTTTCCTTTGACAAACTGTCAGTTCATGATTTTATTTCTACAGTTTTGACCTTTACGGTATTTTTTTATGGTTTTAATTGTACAATTCTTAAACTGACGGCTTTTCTTCGACGGTTCGAAAGTGGACGTTTGTTTCTTTGGTTTTAACCTTTACGATTTTACGTCCATAGTTTTTCTTTTATACTTGTGCATTTTACGGTTTTCATAATGTAGTTTTTTACTTCATGGCTCTTCTACACGGTTTTTTTTCGATGGTTATGGATTTTACGGTTTTTCTTACGGTTTTTTTCACCGTGTATGCATTCCAACGGAGACCGCTTTTTCTACTATAAAATTTTCACTTACGGATTGAGACCACTTTTTAAATCTAATTAATAATCATAAAAAAAAAAGTGGTCTCAATCATGAAGCAGCCTTTGGCTACCATATTTTGATTCATAGTTCTCCTTTAGCAATCACAACAATAAATTGTATCATGTTGACACCCAATATTACTTAATTTACAATATTTACAAACTTATGTTAGTGCCCTACAGATAAAGTTTTACTAGTCAAACGGATGCCACGAGTGACTAATGTACTAGTCGTACTTGTTGTAAGAGCATTCGTTGCTGGGTCACATGTACAGAATTTGAATGCTGTTGACAGAAATTAATTTTCGTCTTCTTTAGATCTGTTGTAGTTCCATGGAACGAAAAAAACCCGAAGAAAATATCAGTTCAATCGATGAAAAAGAACCTATATAACAGCAAAAACAAATAAAAAGTGTGGATATTCAACGTTTTCCATTGCGATGTTGAAATATCTAACAAAACGCCAAAAAGATGCTTTTTTTAAATTCAGAATAAGTATACTTGTCTATTCAGCGTCTTTCTTATTTTAATTTTTCCAGTTTAATCGATCACAATCAAATTTTGACGCACTGTAGACACATAGGACAATATATAACTGTGAAATCAAGAATAAATAAAGTCGACAAGCGGTTTCCTCAGTATACTTAACAACAGATCAATATACAACCACATTCATCAAAACCTCAGCCAATTCAGAAGAAGAAAGCAAAACGTAAACGTTACCTACGATCAACAAATTTCGAAAGTATATGAGAAACAGCCGTGCCAATAAAACAACAGAACAATACAAACAAAGATTAGAACAAAACAGAAACTATAACAAACATAGGACAGCATCACCATCTGCCATCAGATAACAAATGCAGAAAGAGAAAAGATCACTGCGGAATAAACAGTACTAAAATAAAAAAAATAAAAACAACGGAACAGCTGAAAAGAATAAGAAACTAATTTTGGTCAGAAAAATTCTGATCACTGTACTTAGTTAAAGTGTACGTATAATCATGATTATAGCAAATAAATCAATATTGTCATAAACGATCGGATATCCGGATGTGTGACACAAGAGGTCCAGATAGGTGCCCATATGCACTGGGTACGCTGTAATCGGCAACAATAAAATGTAACACGATGTAATCGTCATTTCACACGCTGTAAACAGTCGGCGGGGTCTAACCCATCTCGAGATTAGATCGCTCCTTTTTTACTTCAAAAGCATCGTTTGTTTAAACCTCAAATATTGGAGAAGTGGGGATCAGTGTTTCATCCTTTTTCAATCTTTAATAAGCTCGAATGTGCTCAAATACCATCCAAAGTATATATTTCGATGTGCCCTGACCCTCACAGCTCAGGTCATGTCAACAGTGTTTGAAAAAAAAATTCCATCGCCTTAGCATCTGATATCACGAGAACATTCTTTCCGTCTAGGCGCCATTTATCAAAATATTTCAAATAGAAGTGCTGAAATGATTTTTTTAAACTTTCAGCGTTCATGAAAGTGAGGAAGAGCTAAGAGAGACTTTTTCTTCTGAAATTCCCACCTTAAGACCAAAGTCCAGTCTTTATTCTGTCATTTTTTATTCTGTATGGACAATTTTTCGGCCATAAAAAGCCGGTGCACTTACTTATTTTTTTAATAAAAACTTGATAAAACGAACTTTTGCGATTAAAACTGAATCATATAGACACCAATATGAGACAATATTTTAAGACCATTTTAAGACTATTTATGAGGTAAGAAATGCAAAGAAGAAAAAATACGAAACAGCTCGTGCAGACATTCGAACCCTGAACCTGTAGATCAGAACTGTGTCTACGATGCTGTCACTACATCACACGGCTATACAAATATATATGAAAAATATATATGTTTTTGTTCCTTCTGTTTTGAGATTTTCACTTTGAAGTTTAAAAAAACTAGTAATTTTGATTAATTAGCCTTTAGTTTTTCCCACAAACACTATAGAGAGTTGAGCCTAGAGACTAATAAATAGTAAACTTAATTTTTGACATTTTTTCACTTCTAGTCCCACCTTGGAAAACACTTCCTTCATGGCGAAAAACGGAAAATAAAGTTTAAAAAGAGGTTTTCACACTGAAGAAAGGGTTTTCGGGGATCAACGTCGGAGTAAAAAATATCAGAAATTAACTTTACTATCTTTTAGTCTCTAGGCTCAACTCTGTACAGTGTTTGTGGAAAGTAGTAGAAGATAAATGCGCATAATTCCATAAAAAGTGCTGCTTTCGTTTGTGTCATAATGTCCTATAAATGACTAATCTAATACACATAAATGATATGATCTAGTTATAATCATAAAATGTAACAAATATAATTGTAAGAAAATTTAGATTATGCTTAGATTACACTTCATATCATAAATGCCATACATGTCTCATTTCTGTCTCATTTCCTGCGACCTGGGAACGTGTGCGATCAGACAAGTGACAACGAACTGTCTGTAGAAGATCTGTCTTAAAAAATATTAGTGCTGGTTCATACACTACATGTTTTGTACAAAACTCGCCGACAAACATTGCATTCGAGTGGTATAAAAAATACAGATGCAATGATTAAATACATTTACGCATCATTGATTCGACCTATCCCCATTCATGTATTGTAAATAGTCACGGTTTTTCTATCAACAGGAGAACAAAATGATCAAATATTTTGCAGTAACCGTAGTTCTTCAACTGTTGTTGAGGTATGAAACAGATTCAATTGTTGTACAAAAACAAATTAATGGAATACTCAACGAAGGTAAGGTGGTTGTATTTAGCAATGACATTGATGTTGAAAAACAAAATCTCGAAATTCAGTATGATATAACACAAGCGCCGAATATTACGGATTATTCAAGTGAACGACAAGCAATTCAATGGTTGACGTGGTATATCAGTATCGCTCAAAAAGCCATTAAAATATCAACAGTGTTAAACTTTAATTATATGACCAATATTACACGTGAAAATTTGCAAAAATATGTTGCACAAAAGGAATTCATGAGTCCGTTTAATCGTCAAACCTTGCCTATCATGAAACGATTTAATCATTTCATGCAATATTCAACGAATTATGATTTAAAGAGAATCTATAGTCGTGGAGCTCATGGTACAATTACTGTAGATGACCAATATATTGAAAAAACTAGTAAATTACGTTCACAAATGTTAAATATCTATTCGACAACGACAGTTTGTGATAGACTAAAATGTTATCCACTCACACCAGATTTAGACGAAATGATGCATGTTGAAAAAGATTATGATCGTTTATTGTGGGCATGGAAGGGTTGGCATGATAGATGTGGAAATAAGGTTCGCCCATTATATGTAGATTATATCGATTTGTTAACAAAAAATATTCAAGAAAACGGTTACACTGATTTAACCGAAAAGTGGATGGAACCTTGGGAGACTGATAATTTTGAAGATATGCTAGATCAATTATTAGACGATGTAATGCCATTATATAAACAATTACATGCTTATGTTCGAGGACGACTATGTGAGCTATACCCGTATCGATTTAATTGTAATGGACCTATACCAGCACATATACTAGGTAATATGTGGAGTCAACAATGGCATGAGCGCTTAGACGATTTTTTACCATATTCAAAAACACGTCTAGCTGATATGACAAAAATTTTACAAAGGAAAAATGTTACAATTCATCAGATGTATCTATTCGCTGAAAATTTCTACACATCAATCGATCTTTATTCTATGACAGAAAACTTTTGGACAAAATCGATGTTTGAAAGACCCAAAGATCGTAATGTTGATTGTAAAGCGTCAGCATTCGATATGCGTAATACCGATGATTATCGGATTAAAATATGTACAGAAGTAGACGATAACAACTTCTATATTGTTCATCATGAAATGGGACATATTGAGTATTATATGGCTTATAGTAAAAGTCAACCATATGTGTATCGTGATGGAGCGAATTCGGCATTTCATGAAGCAATTGGAGATACAATCGGCATGTTCGCTATATGTCCGACACATGGAGCATCATTAGGTTTGATTGATGAGAATATTATCGACGAAAAATATGAGATAACTTATCTAATGCGTACGGCTCTACAGAAAGTGGCATTTCTTCCCTTCGCTTATGTTATGGATAAATATCGGTTTGCACTATTTCGTAATCAAATTGACCGTTCGAAATTAAATCGTGCCTGGTGGGATATGAAACTGAAATATGGAGGCATAATGCCGCCCGTCGAACGTTCGGAACAAAATTTTGATCCTGGTGTGAAATATCATATGTTGGCGAATGTGCCCTACTCACGATATTTCCTCTCATACATTCTCCAGTTTCAGTTTTATCGAGCTCTTTGTAAAATTGGCCAAAATGAAGGGCCTCTACACTTGTGTGATATTTATCAACAGAAAGCCGTCGGAGACCAATTTCGTCGAATGTTAGCAATGGGCAATTCTCGTCATTGGTCTGAAATACTTGAAGTGTTCACCGGTGAAACCACATTTCGGTCAGAAGCGATTTTAATTTATTTTCAACCTTTATACAAATGGCTTATAAAGGAGAACATCAGACGAGATTATCCTGTTGGATGGTAGTTCTTTGTGAAAAACTGTCAGCAGATAGAGTTCATTCTTCAGAAAAATAATTCTTGCAGATAGATCAAGATTGAATAATATATAATACTTTAAAAACAGAAGCAAATAGAACCCATCAAATAATTTTTGCATTTAACGTAATTGAAAGCGCATTATGAAGCATCCAATATGTCAAATATACGGTTGAATATAATGCAATGAGATAAGTAAAAGAAACATTTTTATCCACTTAACACAGTTACAGGCAGTAATTTTTCTGATCAAGCATAACACTCGTTAAATGCACATAAAAATTGTCTATTGATCGTTTAGTTTATTTTTTATATAAAAAAAATTCAACACTGTTATCATCTAATGCAGATTAGAATAATTATTAGACTTATTATAAAACTGTTTTCTTTACTGATTCGTTGAAAAACTATCTTAGAAAACTAGGACTTGTCTTTTTATGCACATAGTAGTAGACTTCTTTCAATCGCATTGGCTTCTTTCTTTGACATCTCATGCATTAATTGTATACTATGAATATGAACACATAAAAATTTGAATGTATGTATTAAATTGACAAAAAAATAAAACTGAACGCATGAATAAGCTTAGAAAAGAGTTCGATCGTTGATTCTTGTAGAATTTAAATGTGGTCATATTTATAAACGTAAAAACTTTATACGATAACAAGTATTAAACTTTTTAAACAATTTTTACCGCATTAAAATAAATTTAACTATATCTAACTAATAATAATGAGTAAAACAAGTCTTTTCTCACACGTTCACAAAGAAATTAATAATACGGTTTAACCAAGTTTGACGGTAATTAGATGTAAACTGGTTCTCACACTAAATAAACCTACGCAATTTATTCAGACACAAATTTTTTCATGCACAAAAATACGTTCAGACACGTTGTATTCAGGCGTTATTCGAGAA